GCTGCTTTTCAATTTCATAGATCATACATGGAAGGGACTATTTAGGACATCAAGCCCAACCTCCGTTTCACTGCAGGAATCCAAATTTAGCAACCCAGGTAGAAGACTGTCAAGGCAGCAAAGGGAGATCAAGCTTATGTCTTTTAATAAAATGTTTCTGTTGAAAAAAGTGCTACCAGACTCCTCCTGATTTTTTGCCACCACTGCTTTGGATTCACTATCCTTACTGTTAGAACATTTTTCTAACATTCATTTGGAACCTATCTTCCTGTAACTTAAATCTATTATTCCAAGTCTTGCAGCCTAGAATGGTTGAGAACAGTCTTGACCTTCTGTATGACATCTTTCAGGTATTTGAAGAGTGTTTTCATATCTCTCTTTAGCTGTCAGACTCCCTTAAGGCAGGCACAAACTACGCAGAAGGCTTGGACAACTACAGCTAGGAATTAAATCTTTATTGTCATACTGGAACAACACCTTTAATAGAGAATTGATAGTCTGTAAATTGACAGATGAGTTGATGTAGAATTTATATCCGGTCACAGTACAAATCCTGCACATGTTTTTACAGTAGTATCTCCTATAGGGTGAGATCTTGGACTTCCTTTTTCTCCCACTTCATTGTCCCAATCATTGGCGATAGTCCCATACTTACATTATTTAGACTCATGCTCTCCTGCTTAGATAATTTCCACAGGTCAGGCTAAGAACTGCCTGCCATAATTGCCTGACAAGTCTCTTCTCAAGGCAATCATGCCCAGCTCCTCCAACTACTCTTCACAGCACTTGGTGTCTAGTCCTATGGTCATCTTCACTGTCTTTCTCTGATCCTGTTCCAGTTTGTCGATATATTAACAATCTATATTGTTAATGTGTGGTGCCTAGAAGTGGACACAGTAGTCAAGATAGGATTTGGCCAATGCAGAATAAAGTGGAACTATGACTTCCCATGAATTGGAAACTAATTTGGAAATTATACTTCTCTTGATGCAGCCTCAAACTACATTTGCCTTTTTTGCAGCCACATCACATTGTGGACTCTTATTCAGGTTTAATCAATTACTATACCAAGATCTTTTTCACGAGTACTGTTGTCAAGCCAAGTATATGGCATTCTATTCTTGTACATTTGATTTATATTTCCTATGTGAGGAACTTTGAAATTGACTCTGATCAATTTTATTTTGTTGTTTTCAACTCATGTTACTAACCTATTAAAACATTTTGAATTTTCCTCCTACTGTATCTCTTTATCTGCAGATTTTATAAAAGATTTTATTCCCTGAAACTCTTCAACACATTTTTAATAAAAACAAAACATTTTTTAAGAGTAGACTATCCATGACTGATCCTTGTGGCATTCCCACGCAATACATTTCTCCAATTTGATAAGAAGCTATTGATGAGCATTCTTTCAGTCAGATTTTCAAACAATTAAGTTATGTATCCACTTAATTGTCATGCCTTCAGCCCACATTTAATTAGCTTGCTAATCAACATAACAGAGAGTACTTTATTATATGCTTTGCTGAAGAATAACACTAAATTGCAATAATATAGATTCCCACAATCTATTAAGGAAACTATCTGATCAAAACAATGAGATAAGATCAGTCATCCATGCTGACTTCTGGTAATCAATGCATTGTTTTCAAGATGCTTACAGATTGATCAGTTTATGATCTGCTCTAGGATCTTCCCAGATATTGATCTCAGACTGCCTGGTCTGTAGTTTGCTGGATCTTTCTTCTCCTTTTTGAAGATAGGGATTTGATCTCCCGCTGCCATATGGCATTTTACCACTTCTCCTGGATAATACATAAAAACTTGGCCAGACTATCAGCTAGTCCCTTCAGTATCCTAGGATGCAATTTATGTGGTCCTGGAGGGTTAAACTCACTCAAAGTGTTTACCATTTATTTATGCAATTTATTTCCCACATAAATCCCAATGGACTCTAGGTAATGCCAGATGAGATTCTAAGTGATAAAGGTAAAAAGGCATTAATGTATTAATTTATCACCGAAGCAACTTTGGTAACAATAAATTAATAAACACATTTTAAAACAAAACAAAAAATAACACACATCAAAAAACACCCCCAAATTAAAATATCCATGGGATCACAAAGTATCCTATTCGAGGGCCTGCTTGACAGCCAAGTCTTTAAGACATCCCTAAAAATCATCAGTGTCAGAAGTCCTGTCCCTGAGGTCCCATGAAATGACACTATTTTATTCATGGGATCTGGAATATACCAACCTTGCCAGCTCTTATAAGATGGTCAGAATCAATTGGAGACAGGTGATCCTATAGATATCCATGATGTGACACACGAAGAACTTTATAGGTGACAACTAGCACTTTGAATTCCACCTAGAAGCCAACTGGTAACCATCGCAGCTCGCAAATCAGTGATGTCACATGGACAAACTGAGATGCACCCATAACTACTCGAGCTGCTGCATTCTGGACCAGCTATAACTTCTGAGTAGACTCCAAGGGCAGCCCCATGTGGAGCACATTGCATAATCCAAACAAGAGATGACTAAGGCATGAGTGACTACGGGAATATTAGGGAAATTTTCTAAGTGATGGCTTCTTAAGGAGGGGATACACCATTGCCTCCTTCAAGGGAGGTGGGACAGCTGATTTACTCAAGGAAACTCACCATTGCTTGGACTCCGATGTACAGTATATCACCCCTGGGTGGCCTTAACCTACCAAGAGCTATGCTGACAGCCCCCTCTCCACTTTTTTGAGATTCACAGGCTCAAACTGTGAATGTTTGCATCAATCAAACATTCAATCCTGTCCCTTCATCCTGCTTTGCACAATTTCCTGATGGAAAACATACCTTCTTCCTGGAGAAGACTGAACCAAAATAGGAGTTGAGTAATTCTGCCTTTTCTTTGTTACCTGTTAGCATTTCGCCATTTTTATTAAGCAGCTGATATGATTCTTCTCTTTTCCATTTATTTTGAATGTATCTAAAGAAGCCCTTTTTGTTAGTCTTAGAAACCTTCCCTAGCTTTATTTCAATCCAAGATTTTGCTTAGCTAACAATAGCCTCTCAGTTCTAGATTAGCTGTCTGTATGTTCCTTAGTGAGCTCTCCCTCTTTCCATATCCTGTATGTTTTCCCATTTTCACTAGTCACCTTCGCTGCTTCGACTGTCCATTATTCCCTTATTGGAATTGTTTGTAGTTGTGTTTTAGTCTCTCTTTCTTTAGAACTCCTGCCCTCCTGAGATCCTTTTTCCATTAGTTCGTCTGTCATGGGATCCTACTTATAATTGCTTTGAGTTTATTAAAATATACTTTTTTGAAATCCAAGATACAGTTTCCCTTAAAATAAAGAACTCCAGCATTAAACAGTCACTTTCCCCTAATGTTCCTTTCACTTCTACTTCCTCAATTAAATCTTCCCTTCCCACCTGATTCTAGTGCATTATGGTTAAGGGAGAAAAATCTATTAGATCCTAGAATATTTCATTCAGGAAAGTCAGTGGTCCCATTATTCTTTTAAAGGATCTCAGTATCTACCTAGCTTTAGAAAAAAAAATAGAATTTTAGAGGCTGACATTCTAGCTCTTTTTCATGGGATGATGTAGTTGTTCTTCAATGTACTCTTTTTAGCAATAGCTCTGTGCAACATTGTTGTGTCTTCCCAGTATGCTTGCCTGTGTGTGTTGTATATACGTTAGATATGTTTGAAGCAGTCAGTATACAGATCCTTTCAGTACTGCATGTCAAAATTCCATTCTGTCAAATTTTCTGCAATTTAATTTGCAAGAAAATGTCCATTTATTTTTGTATGCGATAGACACATTTTTGCATGCAACTTTCCTTAGGACATATATTTCCCAAATGTATGCATATCTAGACACATTTTTAAATTTGAGAGCTGCATTGCAAAATCCAGAGAAGAGCAGAATGTGAAAAATATTTTTTTCAATCTGTGCAGGAGTTCAAGATGTGCAAATTAAGTCAATTAATTTAAAAATGTAAACCACCAGGCTTTTCTGACTTTTCTAGCATATACAGGTACATAGAAACATAAAACATAGCAGCCAACATCCTTCTCCTGTCTACTTTTCTCCTGCAGTGTTTCACCATTGAGAAACTGGGACGTCGTCCTCTTATCGTAGTTGGCTTCTGTTTCATGGGCATCTGTTGTGCTGGCATCACCCTGTCCCTGGTGCTTCAGGTAAAAACATCTTCATGCACAGAGTTATACCAAGTAATCTAATTTGAATCTGATTGTCACTTCAGGCTGTGGTTTTAGAAGTGACAGTAGCAACCTTTTGTGTGTGTGAAGGCTCCCAGGGCTGCTTTTTCCTATCTTAAAACTAAAACAGAAACGCAAAGGTCCTTTGGTCCCAGCCTGGTGGATGAATGCAAAATATTCTGAACACCAAAGTGGGCACAATTCAGGAAATGCAAAAGAATCCTACCGTTTCTGAAATATTCATCAGAATATGAAAAGCTGAGTTAGAACAGGAGTACAGAACAGGTCATCTTAGATCTAGGATACCACAATATTGACCATCACTCCAAGCAAACAAAAACAATAAAATTAGCATAACTAGGAGTCTGCAGATAGGACTTATAAAATGCAGAACTGGAGTAGTGGTGGATTTAGGGATTTGTGAATAAGAGAAAAGTAACTATTTTCACTTCATATTAACAAATCACAACAATTGAATGTCCTTCCTGCAGGCGAGTGTGTCCTGGATGCGTTACATCAGTGTGGTTTTTGTCATTGGGATCATTGCAGGATTCTGCATGGGACCAGGTAGGTTTGTGGAGCAGGGAAAGGCATCTGAGGAATAAAAATACATCAAAACTTTTATTCTAGATTACTGAGCACCAGAAGTATAGAGTAGGATCAAGACTGAAGTTCACCAGCTGAACTGCAGTTAGCATCCTAAGGACCAAAGTTAAAAATAAGAAGAGAATTAATAAAATGTTCAATAATTTGGTCTTTGGAAGAGATGGAATGTATGGTGGCAAGTTTTCTTTATGTACATTGTTCTAAATACGATTTTGTTAGACTCGTTTAGGATTGGTTAAAGTTGGGAGAAATACAAACTTAATTGTGTAGTTTTGGACTACCAGAAGATCATGGGCAGCAGGACAATGGCAGGAAGCTCTAGCTATGACCAGCTTTATCATTCATTCATTTTATTTATTAGATTTATATCCCACTTTTCATTCAGGAGCACAAGGCAGCTATATCTTACCATTCATTCATTCGTTCTATTTATTGGATTTATATCACACCTTTGTTCAGGAGCTCAAGGCAATAATATCTTGCCTTTGAAGTGTCAAGATGCAAATTGCCTCTCTGAGTTCTGCTGCTGCTTTATTTTGGGCTGCAGAGGCAATTCTTCTGCATGCTGCTAACCAAGAGGCAAATGCATAGCACTCTAAATATGATGGACGAGGTAGCTGCTGGTTTACCCAATTGATGTATTAGCGGAGGCTCCAACAAATCCATAACTCATTGTCGGCCAAGAATTTATTCACTGTAATTACATCTTTAATTAGGATTTTAATGGCTCATTGTTCACAAACAATGATGAATCTGACTTTTAAAATAAAAATATCTCTCTTCCCACTCTGGGTGATCTGTGAGCAATGTTCATTCAGTGGTTTTTCCGAATACTTCACAGGTGGAATTTTTTATTAAGGCTTTGGAAAAAAACACACACAACCATTTTAGGAAGCAGTACTCTATGCTTCTAAAAAGGCAGGGAATGCTGTTTAAATTGTTGCTGGAGAAAAGAGGGCAGTTCTTCTGTACCAGGGCAAAGGATGTTAGAATTCAGGGCAGCACTTCCCTTGAAGAAGCCTGTGCTATCAGCATCATGTTGTATGTTTGAGCGAGGAGCTAAGCTGAATCGTAGAACAATTCTGGACACTTTCATGCCCCTTGAAAAGTGCTCTGCAATTTCAGATACTGAAGGGATGGCTCAAAGAGATGTAAAAGTGCTTGGGGGAGGGACAAAGAAGGAAATGACCATATCACTGTTGCCTTAGCAACTAGGCTGACAATCCTATTTTCCTCTGCAGCAATGCAATTATATTACCCTCCTTCCAAAATTCTGCATTCAGTCCCAGTTCTGTTGGAGGGTGGTTTTGAATATGATTCAAGCACATGTCCTCCCAAGAGCCAGTTAAGGTAGGACCCTGCCTAATCTGCCTGGTGCTGAGTGTAGTCTTTCTCTGACAGCCGGGGTCCCATTTCTGATGACAGCTGAACTCTTCAAGCAGTCCCATCGGCCATCTGCCTATATTGTGGGTGGGTCCCTCAACTGGCTCTCAAACTTCACTGTCGGCTTTGTGTTTCCCTTCTTGCAGGTAACGTAGGGCTCTGAGTTGTGATAGCCTCCCCAGCAAGGGTAAAGTTTCACACACTATGTCCCTTCAGTATATTGGCCTGCAAAGCTGGAGTTGGGGACTGCAGTATAGCATTTTGGTGTGGAATCGTGCCCTCCGCCCATGAGTAAATGGAACCCCAAGTTAGAAAATTACAACATCAAGCATACTTGATCATAGACTATTCTGGCTGGAGCTGATAGAAGACAGGATGGATTATCTGGACAGAAACAGATTGTCTGCACTGTTACTAAGCTGAAAATGCTAGCGGAGCAGCAATCAAGTTAGTCCAGAAGCAAAGACTCCATCTTTCCCAACCTGATATTGCTAGTTTTACTGAGCCTCTTGGGAATCCCAAGACCAGTTACTAATCCTCAGATACAAAGAAAGGAAATTGCAACAAAACTGAGCTGGTCATGGCACGTAATTCCTGGGCATCCATAAGCAGGACTGGAAAAAGACCCCTGTCCCCATTGGATTCCCAGAGAGTTGTTACTAATCTCAAAAGTTGACACCAAGCTATATGGACTAATGATTTGAGTTGATTTAAGGGAATTTCCTAGATTCCTAAGCTTTATTGGTAAAGCAGTAAAGAGATCTGCTAGAGGGAAATAACTTTAAATATTCAACCTGCTAATGAGGTTTCTTCCTGTATTAGACCAATTTACCTTCTCCTAACCTATGTTGCTATTGTCATACTAGTTGAGAATTGTGAGAACTGTGATCTAAACATATCTGGAGGGCACCAAATTGGGGAAGGCTGGATTAAGTGAAGTTATGGGAACTGGGGAATGCTAGTGCCTGTTTCTTTTAGTCTGTTCTGACTCAACTTTGTTTCTATACTCAGATGTCAGCTGGTGCTTTCTGCTACCTGGTCTTCTGTGGCATCTGCCTTCTAGTTGCACTGTATGTCTTTTTCATCATCCCTGAAACTAAAAATAAGACATTTATGGAAATCAGCCACATATTCGCCTCCTCTCGCCATACCTTCTTCTCTAACTTACCTGATTCTATCGAGATGATCGGGTTAAATGGCTATGGAGCCCTGGAGAACAGCTCCTTGGAACTGTCTGGATCAGGATCGAATCTGCCCTGAGGCTCTTCAATTCATCATTTTGGGAAGCCCTGTCTCCCTCCATAGGGGAAGCCATCTTAATGAGCTATCTTCTGTCATTGGCCAAAGGAAGATGATTTACCTCCTTGTTTTCCCCTTTCTGATCAACAGTACAAATGGAGCCTGTAGAAAAAATGGAAAAACATCTCATTCCAACCTAGAAAAGTTGCCTCTTGCCACCTGTCCCTCATTTTTAGCTCCTTCTGCTTTCTAATTTCTTTTTCCTTTCACTTCTTTATAAACAGACTCATAACATTCTCAGGGAACTGCTCAGTGAAAATGTTTCAAATATCATGGATGGAATCCCTATTTTCTGTAAATCTTACAGCAGAGATGGGGAACCCATAACATGCAGGCAGCCAATCCAGCACCCCAAGAATGCATAGTTGAATTTTGGAAGTAACATTTTCCAGACTTTTTTTCAAAAATTGAAAACAGGAGAAGGAGGCACCTCTTATTCCCACCTTAACCTCCACTAAAGTACAAAAATGCCCCAAATTGCCATTTTGAGGGCAATTTTGGCCAGTTCTTGTCATTTGGGGAAAGCTAAGGATGAGAATGAGACCAGGAAAGTTACCATTCTCATTTCCACCCTTAAACACACTTACTGTAAATTCCCCTAAGACCCAAAATGATGATTTGGGTTATCTTAAACTAACAGTGGAAGCACTGCATTTCAGAGGTCCCTTGCTTCCATTCCCATCCTTAATTCCCCTCCAAAAATAGGGGGGGAAATAGGGGGAAAATGTATCTCCACTCCATTGTAACATCACTGGATGGCCTTCAGTGGCCTTCCAGAAGTTTGGAATGTTGAATCGCAGCATCCCAGTAACATATTATCCACGCCATTTTGCCATGTAAGGCATTTAGGGGGATATACCAAACTATTTCCAGTTTTTCTTTACCAGCAGCCATATCACCACATGAGGTGGAGCTGAGACTCCACTCAGAGATCAACTACAGCAAGGCATCCATTATCAATATCAATATAATGACTACTCTGGTAGAGTTATATTAGTGTACTTTTTTAAACAGTTATATATATGTAGCCTATGCACGAGTAAGCATAACAAGCTGTTAAAGACAAAAGTAGAAATAAAATTTTTAAAACAGTGATTGTATTAACAGTTGTGCCTATTCACAAGGTAAATCATTTTCAGGGTAAATCATTTTCTTCCCTCCCTATGGTACACAATAGCTATGGGGAGAAATATGCACATCAGTTACCCATACTTGCACAACAAGAATTTGGTAAGTCTGTACAGCCAAACTACTGAGTGACATGTACATTGTACACATTAAGCGAGCAGATATGGAGAGTTGTAGGGTAATAGTAGGTCAGTGGTAACTGCATGCAGGGTTCCCAGATTTAGTTCCTAGTACCTGCAAATAGGGCTGGAAAAAAGACTTCTGTCTGAAAACATGAAGCTCGGCCAATTTGTATAGCTTGAGTAAATAGATAAACATCTGACACATTATCAGGTAGGTCCATCTGTCTGTAAATTCATTTTAAGAACAAAACTATTGCAAGGAGACATGCAACAAATTGAGAGCATCAAAGTTTGCAGGCCAGCTTCTGACCCAGTGTTAACAACAGAGGCATGGTAGTGTCTCTCTGGTCTTCCATAAATAGATCAGAGTCTACGCTAGCTTGCCATCCATCCTAACGTGTATTGCACACACTCCTGGTATGAGGGAACATGTCCTTTTGCCATCTCATGCATAAATTAAAGCTCTTGTTAACTGGCAAGGTAGAGGGGACAAAGGAAGAAACACACACTTTGCAGCTTATCCATTTGTCTCAGCTTCCCCTGTGCTGACCCCATGTATTTGTAAGTCCCTCCAGTTACAGTGCAGAGGCTATAACAGAAATGAAAAGGAAGTCCAGCCAAAGTGGCATGATAGGAAAAGAGACAGAAATCTTTTTTTTCTGCTGTAAAAAAGGCCTTCCCCAACCCAGTGACCTTTGCACATCAGTGCAGAGGCTATAACAGAAATGAAAAGGAAGTCCAGCCAAAGTGGCATGATAGGAAAAGAGACAGAAATCTTTTTTTTCTGCTGTAAAAAAGGCCTTCCCCAACCCAGTGACCTTTGCACATCCCATAATTTCCAGCCAGCATGAGGGGACTGCAGTCCTAGATGTCTCCACGGGACCAGCTTTTGTAATAGTACTACCATAGAATAGATCTGATATGTTACTCACTCTTTCAACTTAAAGGTTATTTTTCCAACTATGTCTCCTATGCTTTGACATTCCCCAAGGTTACAATAAGCTGATTCTTGCCATTTTAGCATTATATTCTATGTGGAGCTAGAATGAGTAGAGCAAGAAGTGGAAGGAAATCAGACGTGCTTGAAGAAAGTTGCGGGTTCAGACCTTGGTATTTCCAGTTAACATGATCAAATATTTGGTGACTAAGAGAATCTCTGCCTGAAAACTGGATAACTGCTACCAGTCATAGTAGGTAAAATTAGTCATTAAAGCAGCGGTGGGCCACCTGTAGCTCCAGGGGCAACATGCAACCATAACCTTTTTCTTTCCAGAAACCTCCCCTCCCCAGATCCCCCATCTTCCCTCAAATCCGGAAAATATATAGGAAATCCTAGCCACAATGGTAAGTAAGACAGAGATGCAACCACTTTGTATGAGCATTGCACCCACTGTGGGCAACCCTCCCACCCAGCTCCATATTCTGGTGCTTCTGGCCACCAAAAGGTTGAAATCCACCCCCCTTCCCTCTGTTGCATGAGATGCACAGGGTTTTTTTAAAATTATTATTCTGATTCTCTTGAAGGTGGTGGGCAGTGGGGAAGAGTCCTCTCTGAGCACTCAAGAGAGTTTGCTTATGCAGTGTTGCCCATGCTCATTGTGAATCTCCCTGTGCAATGTTAACAACAACAATGCATTTTATTTGGAATACCATTTGCTAACATTTTGAGGAGAAACAAAAGGGTTGAATAATTTATGCATTAGGAATGGAGTGTGTTTAGGATATGGCTGGGCAAGGATGGGATGGGATTCAAAGGCTAAAATAGGGCTGTTTCACGTGCCCTGCCCTGGAGCATTCCGGTGACAGTGTAGGGCTTCTGGCGTACATTGAACCACTGAACTTCAGAAGTTAATCAGCTCAGCTCTGCTCCAGAGGAAATGCAGAAAAGAGATCTGCTGTACTACTTCTGCAGCTTTGGGACAGACAGTTCCTTAGTGGAAACTCCTTACTGGTTCTTGCTCCTTGATTTCCTTTGCTTTCCCCTCCCTTCCTGAAGTGAAGGTGCTGCAGTATTTGTCACAATTCTGCCATTGCTCCCTGGCTGCTCTAAGGGGCAATTTTGTTCTCCCCATGCAGTGACCAGTTGACGGGTGGACCTTCCTCCTTCCATCCCTCCCTTCCATAAACAGAAGGAGTGAGACATCAGATAGCAGTCACTTTTTTAGTGCTTCACAATTGGTTAGACCTGACCAGTTCAATGGGGCAAGTGAGGATACTCAAAAGTTGATGGTTTCAGAGGAGACGTTAGCAGCTGTGTAGAAGGTCCCATAATTAAGTAAGCGTCCATTTTGCTGCATGGCATTTAAAGTCTGCCGAGATCTGTACAAGATGACTATTGTACAGCCCTTTGGCCAATGGCCAGAGACAATATTTGACCACATGATTTGCCTTAGCATAAAAAGGCTTGGCATAAAATAATCCATAGAATGGAGAAAATAGTTGTTTGTTCAAAAGAAAGATGATACTGAATTTAAGATGATTCCAAAGGGGATGAGGAAAGAATGCTCATATTCTCAACAAACCTAAGACTACCCTTCCCTTTTAAATTTAAATAATTTGGGGAAAAAACAGTCTCAGGTAAATATAGTATTTGCTGGTAATATTAGAGTTTGAGATTCTGATATTGGGAGGAAAATTCAGGCAGGCAAAAATAAGTACTTTTTCTTACAGCACAAACTGAAATTTTGCAGTTCGATTGCACATGGAGCAGTGAAGACTACCAACCATTTGGATGGTTGAAAGAAAAGATGAAATTTACAGAGGACAAAGCTTTCAAACACTGCAAGATTCCTAACCACGAGGACACCAAAACTACAAAACATGTGTCATAATGTCATGACACAAGCCCCACCAATTTGTACTTCCATCATGATGTTGCACACAAATATATTCGGGACAGTTTGCATTATGATGCCGTGACTCCCTACAAATGCCTTGCATTGCAATTGTCCTTAAATAATTAATGAAATATATACTGAATAACAGAATTGTGTCCATAATGCAATCTTTATATGGATTATGTATGTTTGAGTTAAACAACTGAAGCATACATGCAGATATGTCCATTTCCAACCAACTTTTCCATTCTGTTGTTTCTTCATTACTTCTATATTATTATGGCAGTCTAGAAAAAGAGATTGAAGGTACAGCTCTTAATATGTTCACATCATATTTGAAGATGATTTTTTTTTCTTTTTAAGAGCGACTACTCACAAATGCCACAAAGTTTGTCATCTGCCTTGCAAGACATTCATTTGATGAATAAAATTTTGCATCTGAAATCAAGACATTGCAATATAGTGGCTGGGTTACACATCGTGCTAAGCCACAAAGAATAATTTAAAACCACTGTGGCTGAATTCACACAATGTTAAGCCAAAGCCAAACAAATCACATTAGCTTAATGTATGATTCCAGCCAGACAGGCTTATGACTGTGGGCTGAGGACTCTTTGTCACTGAAACAGTCTCACCAAGACATCTGAGAAAAGTTTCAGCTTGAGGTGTTTGTTGGTGCTTCAGTAATGAATTGAAGCACCATGTCTGCAGAACCAGAAAGACTGAATAGCCCACTTATTGTGGCAGAGGAAAGTTCTCCAGGGCCCAGGTATCTTATTGGTTATATTTGTACAGGTAATCCTTGCTTACCAACCACTTGTTCAGTGGCCTTTCAAAGTTGCGACGGTGTTGAACAAGTGGTACTTACAACCAGTCCTTGAAGTTCTGGCCATTGCAGCACCCCCATGGTCACGCAGTCGCAATTCAGGCATTTGGCAATTGCTCGCACTTATGACAGTTGGCTTGTTCCGCAGTCATATGATTACCATTTGCAACCTTCCCTGTTGGCTTCCCACAATCAAAGTCAACGGGGAAACCGCCAGGGAAGGTCGCAAGTTGCTCTGCCAAGTCCCCCTTCCCCTCCTGGGCTCACACATGGTCTGAACCAGATCTTCCAGGGCCTCCCCCACCCCTTGGCACCCCTGTACTCCTTACCTGGGACTCCCACTGCTTCCTGCTTAATGACCCACCCATCTTGGGGTTATGACAGCAACCAGTACTGCTGGGATTGTCATTGCTAAGTGATGTGGTCATGTGATGTCATGCTTTATGACTGCATCACCTAGCAATGGCAATCCCAGTCCAAATTGTCATCATAACCTGAGGACTACCTCTATGTCTAAATGTGGAGCAACATTTAGAATCATAGGGTTGGAAGAG